CCCCAAAACCCCAAAACCCCAAAACCCCAAAACCCCAAAACCCCAGGGGTAAATTCACAGTTGAGAGATTGTTAAAATAATTATCTGTGTTAATTCAGTTTCCTTCTCATTGGAATTCTGCCAGGATGATATCTGTCATAAGGTCTTCTTTGAGTAGCGCGAGGAGGTACAATTAAAGCATTGCTTCTGCTCATGCTAGAGGTCTGGTTGTTGATGTAAGGGGAGGGCCTTGGCCGAGGATATTCTTGGTTCTGGGGTGCTCTATTACGAGAGGAACTCTCTTTGGGAGCTACATTTTGCTTTTTCTTCTTGGCTTTCCTGTTTTTTATATATACCACTATTGATTTAATCAAGAAACCAAGGCATATTAAGCTTCCAATAGTTGGAGACACCATGAGTATTGTTGTGTAATAGCTTTCATAGAATGGGGTCCAGGCTTGTTTTGTATTAAGCCATGATAACGGGACTGTCAGACAGCAAAATAGTGTTTGGTTAATAATCTCAATGATATCGTCCTGTGGATTCTCAAATGGTCTGACAATTATCAAATAAATTCAGTAAGCAATGTTCAGCAAGTAAAAGTAGATGGCTTTTTCATATGAACGGGCAGTTTGGCCAAATATAAGTAATGACGTCATCGATAATCTCACCAGCATAAACAGACTAGAATAGAGTTTGGAGCATTTAGTTGGCTTGATTCCATTAAAGTATTCGATTCATGTCCAATACTTGTCTTTATCAAGCTGAGGAAATGATGTTCAGTACATTATAAATGACAAAATAAACAACACACTTGTACAGATAGCAAAAATTACTCACAAACCCAAGGATATTTTTGTCACAGTTGTAGTAAGATTTAGGTTATAAAGTTCAGAGAATATGGAGAGAGTTGTGAACACAAATGCCTGCATGAATATTCTAATATAGATATTAAAAGTTAGCAGCTTGAACAGCTTATTGAAAAATTTCTTACATCTTCTGTGTTTTGAGTTCTCTGTTCATATTTTACACAGAAAGATTCCAAAATTAATGATTCCAACAAGAATGAGAATAACCATTAGTGATAAATAATTAACAACTGAACTCCCGGACCTCATTCCAATGCTGTTCAAGTACTCATCGGATTGGGGGTATGACACCCAATCTGTAAGATCTTCCACAAATGGAAGATCCTTAAACTTGATGAAGTCGAACGAGAGCATTGTGAACCCCATTCCACTCAAGAAATCTAACACTTTGAGTGAAAAGTAGTCAGGAACCAGAGGCAGCAGAATTGCAAGTTGCAGACTGTTCATGACACTAAAGATTGAATTGATAGATGATAATGATAGGAGAGATGATGCACTTGCAAGTATGACACTTGATGTCACCAAAGCAGCAGCTGCTTCTGTTACTCCAGCCACTGCCCCTATTTTGGAGCAGGATTTCTGCTCATCAGAGCTTTGGTAGCCATCAATTCAGGCCTCTCAAATACTGGGGTTGCCCAGTGTTCATAGTTCGCAGTTCTGGATAGATCACTCCTCTACAGTGATTTCAAACTTCTTATAATGCACTTCACTATTAAACGAGATCTGCAGAGAAAAGAAGAAGACTTCTTTTGCACCCAACTTTGGAGTGGTGTTAAGTTGAAGCTCTCTATTGTCTGAGTCCAGCTTTACCCACTCAGGAATAGCATTGGAACCAGTTTGAACTAGACTGAAGCTAATGGCAGTGTAATTCGCTGATTGAGCTCAGGCCCAAATGAATTCTAATTTCACCGATGAGTTGCTTTGGACAGTCTGGAAGTTATCTTGATTCCACAAAGCCACATATCTGGTGAACGAAGGATTGGTTGAAGATGTGATGTTGGTGGTCGTGATGGACGAAGAGGTTGAAACAGAGAGGATTTTTGCACTTGTGGTGATGCTTGGGTTTGATATTGTTGACAGCACCTGATAGTTAGTGGTAATAGGGCTGAACAGAGGAGTGTCTTCTTCAAATTCAGAAAGCTGGTCGATGTTGTTTGTGAGTGATCTTGCAAAGAAAAATGTGTCATTAGTGCTTATTCTTCCAGAATGATACATTAGCTCTTCACCTTTGTATAATAACTTTCCAACTGCAAAAGCTGACGAGTCTACTGACTTGTATTCTTTCACAATTTCTGTAGTAGAAGGAGTAACCAGAATTAACCTTTTCAGGTTTGATAAAGAGGTACTTCGAATTTGAATAGCAATGAAAGCATCAAACTCTTCCATTGAGTAACTATTACTATACCCGCTATCATTCCAAATCAGCCCTGAGCTTTGGGGACTCCCATCTGCTATGCTGAGCTTGTGAAAAATGAAGTTGGTATCGTACACCACCATTATGTAGACCCACTCTTCATCTCTGCTCAGCAAGGAGGTGCTGTGTTTGCTCACTCAGCCTGAAGTGGGGCAGGCAATGCTCTTCTTCCAGACCAGGCTTGAGGAGGAGAAGTTGAAGTTCACCAGGTAGTACTGGTCAGCTGTTATGTCAATTGACCCAAAGAACAATAATTCTTTACTGACTGAAACGAAGTCGGTATGCTTGTTGACTCCGAAAGTGAATCAATCAAGATTTGTAGTTGACATATCCCATCTACAAGTGTGAATGATCGAGCTGATGATAAAGCTGAAATAGAAGCCTTTATTTGCTTCCATGTTACAACTGAGAGAAACTGAGGCAGAGCTAACTTCCAACTCCCTGGAGATAATCAGATCTGAAGCCCTGATTTCAAATACCTTTCCAGTTGTCAAGTCCTGGATATAGATGAAGTCCTTGTTCGGAGACATGGCATAGGAAATCTCATTTCAGTAGATATCATAAGTCATCACTTGAACTTTAGCCAGTTCAGGGTTTGACTTGTAGATAATAGTGTTATATGGAGAAGATGAACCAAAATATCCAATAAAATAGAGTAATTCATTAGTCTGGTCTTCAAAAATATCATAAAAATAGGTTATAGTAGCTCCTCCAATTCCGAAACTTCCAGAGAGAGGAGATCCTGCAGTCTGGACATCGTTCTGGCATACATTGGCTGCAACGGCCACTATTGAAAAGAGTAGGATCGAAAGTTGACTCATTTTCATAATATTAATAATAATATTTCAAACTATTTATTAATCGTGGGGTTTTGGGGTTTTGGGGTTTTGGGG